AGTGCGCTTGTGCTGGAGGCCTTTTCAGTCGCCATGTCACCGTCATCATCGAAAACTGTGTTGATGGGACCGCGAGCATCATCAGGAAAACCCAAGAAGGCTGCTGAAAATGGGCAAGATTGGACCATTTTTGCTTGTTCTTGTGGGACAGGATAACTACTGATATAATAGGAATCCCAGTTTGCTTTCTGACTGTGCGGCGTCGTGTTATCCTCATCATCATCAGCGATTTTGTCGCTGTCATCGTCGTCCAACAGACCCAAAAAGGCAGAAGCATCAAATGGGCAGATTTTGTCCACTTTTCCCCGTTCTTTTTGCACAAGGCTTACAGGAGCATGATAGAAATCGTTTTCGGATACGCTTTGTGCCGGCCCTTGCCTGTCTTTCTTGTGCTCATCTTGGTCCTTTGTTTTCCAGTTGAAAATAACCTCTTTTTTGGCGTCGCTACAGCCGCTCTGTGTAGGAGAAGTACTAGAGGTGCTGTTTTGGAACCCGGAGTTGCGTGTGGTTTTTAATTGTGTGTTTTTTTTGAATATAAGTTGTTGCAACAGAAACAGAGATGACTCAAAACAAGATTCTCTATTCTGCAGAACTAACCAATCAGATGAACAGAGCAGCATACTTTGAAACAAAAAAGGTACAGATAAAGGTAAAGGTAAACCAAAGGATGAAAAGAAAAAGGCAGCATGTTATGTATGTGGCAACAAGGACCATATGTCCAACAAATGTCCAGAAAGAATGCTACCAAAGATTCAATGGAAAACGCTGGATTATTGGAAAAAGCTCCATCTGAATAAGATTGGAGCGACAGTCCCAGCTACAGGTCCAGCTACAGTTCTTGGGGCTTCTCCAGTCACAAGTATTATCACAAGTGAAGGTTCAAGTGTTGTGGGAAGCGTTAACACCCCTTTGTAACTTGTCGGTACTACAGGTGGTCAGATGATGCAAGTTCCTGCAGGAATACAACTGATGCAAATCCCAACTCAAGATGGCAGCACTGTAACTGTCCCTTACTCTATGAATGCTAATGGTGAGATCACGTTCAGTGGAATGCAACTCAGCCAACAAGGGTTCAGTGGTGCTCAAATGCATGACGGATTTGATGCAACTCAAGCTCCAACTCCGCAGGTCACAAGGACTTGCTACTTCAATATGTCAAATGTCTTCCATGATGCTATCAAGGGAAAGGATGAGCAGGGCAATGATGTCTATCTTATTTCATGTCCTGCTTGTACAGCAAATGTCAAACTTCAAGCAGACTGGCACGATGCTAGTGAAAATGAAGACTTGCCAGATCTTGTTACTGAAGCAGATCAAGGTATGTAGTCTATTCAAAGCTGCAGAAGAGAAAGGGATCCATTTGGATTGTATGATCATGTCATCATGGACAGTGGTTGCACAAACACCACCATTGGGAATGGTGAGCTCATGCATGGACTCCGTCATGCTGAG